CTGTGGGGGGGAGGCGTGGGTCAGACAGATACACCTCGCCCTTGTGCTCTGAAGCATCCTCATCACCCATGGGTTGGGGGAGGGGTGTGTGGTGTGTGTCCCCGGCCACCACTTTGGGTCTTATCTTGAAGGACCAGGCTGGGAGGGAGCTCCCTGCGGCTGCAGGCAGCACAGGCAGCAGGGGCTGCGGCCCTGGGCCCCCCAGCTCCCCCTCCTACCTCTGCCTCAGGCTGCGGTCGAAGTCCACGTTGCTCTGGGGGCTGATCTGGCCATCCACAGCGTAGGGCTGCGGGGACATGAAGCTGGAGCTGCAGGCACCAGCCATTGCCTGTCCCCTCAAACCCCTCCCCACCCACCACGCACAGAGCCAAGCCAAGCAAGAAGGGACACAGCCCCCAAGAGGGACCATGGGTCCTGTCACCCACCGTGGGTCCCATCACCCCCCAGTCTCCCCATCCCCTGGATGGGGCAAGGGAGGACAGGCTTGTCCAGGGGATGAATGGCCAAAGCGGCCTGATCCTGGACTCAGCATGTGCCCCAAAAGGCTGACACCCCCCTCAAATCCAAGCTTTCCCCAGCTCCCCCACAAGCCATGCCCCAAGCTGCCCTCCCATCTTTCCCCCTCCCCCTCATCCGCAGGGACACCCCATACCCCTCCAGATACCCCTGCACCAAGATGGGTGCTCGATGGGGTGCACCCACCCCATAGGTGAAGAGCACGGCCCCAGGCTTCAGCAGCACTCCGGCACCCTTGAACAGGCCCTGAGGAAAGAGGGGGGGGGACGACACCATGTCAGGGCACTGGGGTGCCCCCCCAGGAGCCCCATCCTTGGCGGTGGGACCCCCAGAGCAGGGGCCAGGGACCTGGCATGGCTCCAGCCCTGCCCTGCTCACCTCGGTGCACCGCAGCTCCGCGATGTGCATCATGTTGATGCTGACGAGGAGGTCGAGGGTGGCTGGTTGGGTGCCCCCCCATGTCTCCCAGCCCTGTGAGACGTCCAGCAGGATGGGGGGCAGCACGTTGGGAACCTGCATGGCTTCCGTGTAAGCTGCGATGCTGAGGGCACCAAACCCCATGTCAACCCCAGCCGGGGCATCTCCTGCACCCCAAGCATTGCCCCCTGCGCCCGCTGCGAGGC